AGAACGTGGAGCGAAACGTCGGATGCCAAGCAGCACACAGCAGCACAACCTCGAAAGAGCACATCGGCGAGCCACACGCAGCAGCAGCAGCAGCACAATCACTAAATCCCACTTGGTCCTGGCTCATAAACCTGCACTGCCAAGCCTCAGTTGTACATGATGACCCACAGTGATCCCTGGATGTTTTACCACGTCGACCCTCCCCGCGGTTTAAGGTATCCATCATCAACATTCGCCGCCGAGTAAACAGAGGCGGCCGCAGTCTTCCATGGAGCTTGCTGCATTGAACCTTAAAAGCATTTTTTTAGGCCAGCGTGTCAAACAAGTGCTGACATGCGCCGTGAGCTTGTCGACCACGGTGCCGGTCGCGTGACCTCCGCGTGCCTTGCCGGCCTTCATCGGTGCTCTGAGGTACAACATGGTTGGTATTGGGGACAGCGACAGGAATGTAATGGGGCCCCCTATACAATTGAATGAATTGGACAGGGGGCCCCACCCCAAACCCTATCTAATCCCCCCCCACCTTTTTATAGCCTGACGCCTGGACCCCTGTGGTCGTGGGTCCTGGTGCAGTTGCACCGCCTGCGCAACTGATAGCTACGCCACTGCGCCCATAGCAACTCCCGCATACGGTCTAGGTCAGATGCACGATGGTGGACCCTCAGGTGTTTAGTTACATTTCCCTTCGCCCCCTCCTCCCGCTGGCTGGCGTGTGTTCTGCAGCCAATCAGATTACGCTGTGAGCCAGGCCCACAGGTGACATAGTTGGAGGGGGGGCTAGGTTAGGGTGGGCGATGGGGGACGGCTGTGAGGTGGGGGGGCCTTTTGTCATACTTTGTGGTAACTTGCGGTACGCGGTACTTTTGCGGTAATAACAGGACTGACACAGGTTCATAGAGCAGTCCACTAAGCATTGCAAGCCCCTCTCAACCTCAATCGACATTGGCAACATGGAGCGTGCATTCCTGTTTCAATCCGTGCTCGCAATCGACCGACGGTTATATAACATATATAATGGTTTGCCTCTGCAGCACATGTAGGTCAGTGAGATACATCACTCGTCGGGAATACTTTGGGGGGGGGGGGGGGTGGCATTAATGGATGGGGCCTGGGATTGTGGCTGGCTGGCGTTGTATGAATCGAGGAGGTGTGGTTGATTATAGTGCCGAGCGTCCAATGTCATCCACTCAACAGTTTGGCTCCGAAGCACAGCACGTATTTATAAGTCAGCTTCAGATACCGCCTTCCATCTGCCTAGCTTAGTGATTGCATTCCATGCCCAATGGTCCCAGCGGGATGATGCACCCAAGCTAGGTTTGGGTTGAGCTTGGACAGTTCTTGGATGGGTGACCACCAATGCCATGCATAGAAGAGGCGCTATCGGCTTGCTGCAGGGTCACGTTGTGGGCAGCAGAGGCCGTGAAGCAACATCGGGTGGTGGAGGGGTTTCAACGACAGGTTCTGTGAGAGAATCGCATGGCCCAAGCCAAAATCAACTTTGAATCGTAACCACCGGCTACAAAAACCTTCATGCTTAGCATACAATAGTGGATGACGAGCGGTGACGCGGCCCAGCGGTAATGCATTCGCCGCTCGCTGCAGAAGTTCCCAGTTCGAATCCAGCGACCATCCTGATTATTACCACTGTGCGCATTAATCGTAACAACACTACGCACCGCCTGCTTCACTCACACGTGGACGTTAAAGATCCCCTGACGTCATTCACGAGAGTAGGCCATCATGTGCCGGAGTCATGGTCCAAATTTGCCAAAGTCGAAAATGACGCTGCAAATTATTCAATTGGGATAGCAATTATCGCCCTCTACTGGCAGACGAGTGACCCAAGGCACTCTTGCAAGTGAGGTTATCCTGGTTTCGTGAATTTTCACCTGGTTGAGCACCACCCCTCTCTGGCTCCAAATTGGACATCTGTGAAAAAGAGCTTCATATCTCATTGGATTCGTCCAGGACAAATAATGATTCTGATTCTGGCTGATGTTGTTGTAGGACAACAGCTGTGATTTTACACTGGAGTGGATGAGCCAGGTGATAGCATCAGGAGTAGCGGAGTGTTTATGAATCAGGCTTTGAGTCCACGTTACAAGCTCCATGGTTCTGTTTTGGGTTGGCGCACACTGTCGGAGATTTTAAAAAAATCTCCACTTGTGTATCATCATCATCACCATCGAGTATCCGCATCATCTGCTGCTGCCATGATTTGTGCAGTGGACGCGGTTTAGGGGTTGCTGTCCAAAAGATGCACGGCAGCGAGATGGAAGCCAGGGAGGGGTGCCGCAGTGGCGAGATGTTAACTGCCTCGCCTGGTGTACAGGAGGTCGTGGGTTCGATCCCAACCCCGACGTCTGTATATTCGGAGGTCGCATGTTCTTTCTCCCCGTGGTCGCGTGGATTTTTCTCCGGGTCCTCCGGTTTTCCCCACCACATTTAAAAACGTGCGTTGAGAGTATTTGCCTGCTATAAATTTCCACATAATGAGCCACTTCGTTGAGCTATCATTTGTGATCAAGGTCGCTTCTGAAAAAAACCTATAATAGCTCAGTGGGCCTTACCTGGTAAAATAAAAATAGCATGGGTTTATATTCTTGGGTCTTTCGGTAAAGTCACATAGATAGGTTCAAAGAAAATAACAAAAATAACAAAAAACTACGACGTTTCGATCGCAACACAAGCAATCGTCATCAGGAGAAAAAAGTGGAAAAGTTGCTGAGGCAGGCTATTTTAAAGGATCATAAACGCAGTGGGTGGGGCTAGTGATGTTAAAGTGAGAAATTTGCATGTCAATGTAAGGTCGGAGAGCTACCTCCACGAGGACGAAGGGGCGGAGGTGGCCATTGTATTGTGAGAGATTAGCATGTCAATGTAAGATCGCAGAGCCACCGCCACATCGAGGACACAAGCTACGGTGGCTGTGTTAGTGTGAGACATTTAACCTGTTAATGTAAAACCAGAGAGTCGAAAATAACTACTAACATCGTAAGGTAGGATGGAAACATCACAGCCAATTATGAAATAAACTGGTTAATAACGTCATTCCAATGATTGCTCAGTTTATACCCATCTTCTCGGTTGAAATTGAAATTTCTTTGAAACTATCTACATGACTTTACCGAAAGACCCAAGAATATGAATTCCTGCAGTCACGAAAGCTTTAAGTCAAGCATGGGTTTAGTTGAATACATAGATTTTCGCGACCAATATCATCCATAATAAATGTTTTGGGTAATTTAGGGGCCGTCCATGAATGACGTCTCGCAATTTTGGACGATTTTTGACCCCCCCCCCTCGTCACACGGCGTCACAAAAAGTCAGACCCCCCTCAAATATGACGTCACAAAGCTCTGCCCCCCCCCCCCAAAAAAAAATGCTTCAAATCGCTTTAAACTATTGTCATTGTAGTGCGTATTTAATGTGGCGCTGCACTCTGATGTTGTCGGAGAAAACATGTATTAAAAAGTCTAATTAAGTAGAACGTGTTGTCTATATTTAAAGTTGTGCATTTTGATATGACGTCACATTTCTCATACGCCCCCCCCCCCTCGTCACACATCGTCACAAATGTCTGACCCCCCCCCCCCCCCACCAGGTGCGTGACGTCATTTATGGACGGCCCCTTACGCGATCTAACCCCAAAAAAAACCTGTATTATGGAGCATGGGTTTAATATATATTCTGCGTCGTCGGGTCTTTCACGAGAAGGCGTTTGTGATTTGTGAACTCCATTCAGCTTTCCAAGCTTCATCATCATCATAGTCGGGGTTGAATTTGCATTGAAGGTTGAGCGCGTGGGTCATCCCTCTCACTCACACCCAATAGGGAGAGCAGTGGATGTTTTGAGATCGTTTGTAATGGGCACGCGATTGCTGGGATGGGAGGGGCGGGGACGGATGCGGTGGTGGTGGGGGGGGATAAGGCTAAGTGGTCTGTTAAGTTATTTGTGGCTGAGACCTCTTAATCTGTGTTGGGATAAAAAAAACCTAAAAAGAAAATTTTAAAAAAAACAATCCCTTGGCAACTAACGCAGTGCTGTATCCTCTAACCGTTCTCCTCCACATGCCCTCAGCCACTCCGGTAGGAATGCGCCACACACAATTTGTCCGTGGCCAGGAATGGGCAGTTGTGTGTGTGTTTGCGTGTCTATTTGTGTGGGCCACCATCAGTGGCGATGATCTCAACCGGTCCTGGGCATCCCCTAGGTCGATTCAGCCTCAAATGAGATATGTACCTGGTGCGGTGTGTAAACATCAACACGAGGGAGACATAGGCAGCTGGGCGTGGTGGTGGCCACTCATCCCCCTCGGCCTTCATGTGTTACTGCTAACAACACTTGCCTCAGCAGTCTGTTTAGGCTACACGGGTAATCTTTGCATGTGCATTTGTGCAGAGGGGTAGTGTAAGTTTGATGCATCGACCAGTCATCTCAGTCAACCAATGACACCTGGGTCTGTTCCGTGACCTCCTGCCAGCGGGCCTTCGACACTTCGCGTGGCCTTAAAGTGCACCTAGCCTGGCACACGAGCCGTGGTGACGTCACCACCACTTCGTGGTAAAGGGCGGTTATTGTAGCGGTTGGCCCACTGCACTACTAACCCAGCGACTCGAGTTCGGTTCACTCTCCACCACCAAATAACAATGACGAACATATGAGTCGGTTCTGGCCATCCCCTCGGTTGACTCAGCCATAAAACAAATAGTATCTGGCAGAATAAACATCAGCACTGGGGGAGACAAAGGCGGCCGGGCGTGGTGTTCACCACCCAAGACCACCTCGTGTGCCGTGCCAGGGGGCCTCCATAGTTGCACGCTAACAGCACTTGCCAACCACCCCCCAACAGTCTCTTGAAGGCTATACGGGCAATCTTTGTCTTTGTGTGACATGTAACATTGCCCATTGGCTCAGCTTGTGGGGGTGTGTGCATTAGGGCGTGTGTGTGTGTCCCTGTGTGCGCATTAATGCCCTCCCATAAATGTGCACCACCCCCCCCCGTACACTCTCTGGCTACGTGCTATTCACTTGGGAACATTCCTTCACGCAAGCAAAGGGGGGGGGGGTGGTGTGCAACGTGAGAGTGCTTATAAAGGTGGCACTGGTGGGGTGGTCAAAGGCAGATATATTCAAGTCTGCTTTGAAAACCCATCTTTTTTAAGTGGCCTTCCGTCTTTAGTTTTTGGTCGGTTGCTCCTGTTTTTTTCTGCTTTTCATGCATTGCGCGTTGGGATCTTAGCATGGAGTGCACAATTTGAAGTATTGTTTAAACTGAGCGGAAACGGAGACAGACAGTCCACATCCCCACTGGAGTTTCAAATTAAGAAAACAACAGATTTCGTTTTTTTCTCTCTAATTTGAAATACTCTCTCGACACACTGAGATTGTATTATATATATTTTGTGTCGTACGGTATAACTAGAAAATCAACAAATGCAACTTTAGGTCATTTGGCAACAACAAAACTTCAAGAAAAAGCTTGAGAAGTCTAACAATCACTGCTGGTAAGTGAATTTTCATTAAAATATTCCTGTCAAGTTTATTATGAAAAAAATAATGTGTGGGCTATCTTGTTAAGATGACAAATGAATGAATTCCCCATTGTTACACGGCTTACACTGTGCTGTGCAGAATGGCCATTGCTCAAAACGTTACCTATTATGTACTTTTTCATGTAAACGCCAGTGGTATTGACGCGCGTGTTTATTAGTAATTGTTATTTGTGCACCGCTGCCAACACAGCAGCAGCACCGTGAGTATCCATCGATTATATAAGCTATATTTAAAACATTTTTTTTTTAAAACACGCTTTAATGAAATGTACCGTACGAGTAAAAGCAGAACTCCACAACTCTAGGAAGTGGCCCCGAAGCTTGCCACAGCGTAAGGGGCCGTGGTGATTCACAGCCAACGTGAGTTGAGCGTGGACAATTAGACCCAAGGCGAAACATAACATTTAAAAAATGGTTTTAAAATATATAGTTTTTATGATATAATATAGTATTGTCATCAGTATGACAAACGTATACCAAGTTTGCAGTCGATACCACATTGGGAAGTGGGTTAAAATTGAGTTACAAGATTTGAGGATACGTCAACAACAGACAGTGAGTTAAATAAAAAGCGTGTAATAATAAAAATCCCGGGCGTTCCATTTGGCCGTCAACTAAATTACAAGAGCCTTTCAGAAGGCCTGAATCAACAAGTTATAGAAAGTGACCCACTCCCAGATGTGGGGGTAAAAAGTTGATCCAACAGGTTTAATTAAATTGTCAACCCCCCCCCCCCCCAATTTGTTTTATTTTGTAGGAATGTTTGCCTACACACCCTACATACAATAGTCAGTAGTATCTGCACACATTGGGGGGAGTGAAGAAGAAGAGGACATCATTGTGGGTGGGGGGGGGCGCGAAGTGCTGAGAAATAAAGGTGAATTTGGATAATATTGGTGACATTCAGAAAATAAAGGTGAGATTGGATATTAAGGTGAGATAGGATATTAAGGTGAGATAGGATAATAAGATGAGATTGGAAAATAAAGGTGAGATTGGATATTCAGGTGAGATTGGATATTAAGGTCAGATTGGCTATTAAGATGAGATTGGATAATAAAGGTGAGATTGGATATTAAGGCGAGATCTCCATATATATAAAAGGCAAAGTTGTGATTATGTGTCTGTTCAAAATGTTTAGCGTACTTCCCGACATGCAACAAACTTGAAATTTGCCATGTGGGTACTTTCCAGACTGTACACCATGCACAAATTATAAAAATACACTTTTGTTTTTTTTGGGGGGGGGGAGCTCAATAATGTATATATTTTTTGCACGGCAAGTGAGCTGTGACGTCAAATCTGTCATGTGACCCACGCACATGGAAGCGTAACGCATTGTAGAGTAGCGGTTAGCGCGCTGCGCTACGAAACCGGCAACCCGAGTTCGATTCCCGCTTACGGCCACCACCGGTGACGATTATTTTTACTGGTCCTGGGCCTCCCCTAGGTCGACTCAGCATCAAACGAGTAACTGCTCTGCTGTGTGAACATCGCCACTGGGGAGACAAAGGCGGCGGGCGTGGTGAATCCAAGTCCCGGGCGAAGCCGGGTAGTACAGCTAGTTGGATAATAATAAAGGTGAGATTGGATATTACTGCACCGGTATTTGTTTGCATTTCGGAATATTGTGTCGCCAATTGCGAAACAGGAGATAATTGCCCGGCGGCAAGGTAAGCCTCTGCACTGCGTCACTCACGGATATGAGAGAATTCCACTTCACCTCCAAGGCTAAATTGTTTAGGCCAAGGGTAATCGACCGAGTGCGGCCAACAAGGGGTCATGAACACCAGCGATGATTTCATTGTCAGTGTTTAAAAAGCCTTACAGCACTGCTCAGCCTCAATTTTGACTCATGCGAGTGAGGGGGGAAATCTTACCGTGCATCTTGGAGAAACTCACAGCAAATTATGCGACAAGCTCTCAGAATCAGAATATTTCTACTGGATGAATCGGATGAGCTATAAAGCGCTTTTTCACAGATGTCCAGTTGGGGCAGGTCAGAACGTTACAACAAAAACACGATAAGAGTGCAACGTTTTGGAAAGGTAAACAAATAACTTAAACAAATCTTCAAATCAAACTGAACTATATATATCTTACCAGGTAAAGCCTACTTAGATATTTGGTTATTTTTCAGAAGCGACCAGGCCACAAATGATAGCTTAACGAAGTGCCTTGTCACGTATAAATTAATAGCAGCCAAATACTCTAAACGCATGTTTATGAATGTGGAGGGAAAAACCGGAGGATCCGGAAAAAATCCATGCGACCACGGGGAGAGGGAGACGCAAACTCCGAATATACAACAGACGTGATCTAACCCACAACCTCCTGTATACCAGGCGAGGTAGTTAACATCTTGCCACCAGTGATACCACATAATTCTTATTCCTTACTGCTTGCCATCACCCCTTTTCGCCGTGACGTGCCATGCCTAAGCCCACTCACTCGTCCTCACTTCGAATTGCTGTACCTGTATGTCATTAGTCTGCGTGTGTTCTCCAATCCACATGTTCATCTTTCTGTCCTCAATGTAATTCCGCTCTCATCCTCGGACATGGTAACGTGGACATGCTTTACACTGGCCGCACCCCCAAACAACCCTATGTCTCGTTTTTCTGTGGTCTTGGAATCTCTGCGTCTCTTCATAAATATCAGTGAGGCAATGTAACATAATTGTGGTTACATTAAATAATGATCGACCCACGCCTCCAGTGCTGTTGATCTGTAGCATCCCGCCGTCAGTTGTCGGGCAGGTGGTGGTGGAGTTCAGTCCATGATCAAAGTGATCTCTTTGTGTATCACGGCTGTACCCAAACTCTCCAGTAAAACTATACACACGTGTTTGTTTTTTGTCTGTCCATGTGTTTACTGCCTTGTAGTTGCACGCGCAATGCAGATGTGGTCAACGATAACAGTTGTGACATTTTACTCTTTACGCAATGTCAACAAAAAAAGAAACACGCTATCGTCAACATCTACCAAGCCTTACATATTTTTCTACTAAATTACAAGCTCTTAATGTATGTACCTTTTACTTTTTTCGCACCGTATGTAGTCAACCGTGCGACTTGGAGGTAGAATCCCTGTTTGATCTAAGTGTAGTGTCTTCAAAAATTACTCACACCGACACGTTGTAACAAGTCACCTGCTTACACTTTATTTCACCTGTTCTTGCGCCAGTTATAGGCACTCCTATAACTATCTTTATGGTCACATATACTTAACTTCTCCCCGCTCTTATCTATTCTGCACCTCACTTATCCTGCACTCAGCAGCTCTGCTCTCAGCGACTCCGCACACAGCAGCTCCGCACTCAGCGACTCTGCACTTAGCGATTTCGCACTCAGTGACTCTGCACACAGCGACTCTGCACACAGTGACTTCGCACTCAGTGACTCCACACTCAGCGACTTCGCACACAGCGTCTTCGCACTCAGCGACTCTGCACACAGCAGCTTCGCACTCAGCAACTCTGCATCTCCACTGCTGCCCTCACCTACGCTCCCTCAGAGCCGCTCACCCGTCTGTCCCGGGCGGAGGGTTCAGCCAACACCTGCCCGGTGACGGCGTCAGGGTTGAGGTCCCGTTGACGGCTAGAGCGTCAGCGGCGAGATGTCTTCACTCTTGGTTCCCCGGCAACAACTCCCCTCCGCTTACGCACACTCCCCTTATATAGCTCCCCTCATTCCGAGTCCTCACGTGTTTCTCTTCAAGCTGCCGCCAGGCCGGCGCCAGTTGTCCCATTAAGCCCTTAAAATCACCCCCCATCTCCCATCTCCTAGGCGCCAACCTCCGGTAACAGCGTACCCACCTGTTCGACCTCGGTTGCACCCGATTCTCCCCTTAATTACCAGCGGTTTGTCTGTGCAAACCTCATGTTGCAACGCACATATCTGTTCGACCTCAGTTGCACCCGCTTCTTCCCTTAATTACTGTCGGTTTGTCGGTGCAAACCTCATGTTGCAACGTGCACACCTGTTTGCCCTCAGTTGCACCCGCTTAACTGTGTGCACCGCGTATTTCTCTCCTCTACATAAGTAAAACATTGTTTCTAAACTTTGGCTGTAGATATGGATCACACTGTCGGATGCTATCGCAAGTAAAAAAAACTTTACACGTTCAGTGCCAATAACACTGCATGTAGCCTTAAAATGAAAAATATATGTGATGTTTCTGGCAATGGTCCGACAGCTAGGCAACGTTTTGGGTAATGGCCCTTCTTTACAGCACACACCTCTGGCCTCGGGTTTCCTCCCACATGTAAACATCCATTAATTTGCCAATAACACCTTACTATATGGAGGACCGCAGAGCTTGGGAAATTGCTGGCACCAACTTATCGCGTAGCTGCCTTTCGGCTTGTTATGGTAGTGCAACCTCCTCGCAGCTCTCGACTAATTCTGTCTCTACGAGAGTGGTCGAATATTCTGTGGGCTGGTTTTACAAGTTGAAATTATGATTATTTGCAGTGTGGAAGGGCCATTGCCTATAATATGTTTAACTTTTAAGACCACTGTGTTTGTCGGACGTGTTAAGTTTTAGTTGTGTGCTTGTGCACCACTGCCAACGCAGCAGCATGGCCAAATAATGAGTTTTATAGAATGTAAAGACACTACATCATTGACACGGACTAAAGCTAAGGCATGTTACGCGTCACATGTGTTAAATGAACCATGCCATGCCGACCTCCACAGTAGCCTCTCTCTCTCTTATCCTTCATGACTGTCTCTATCTCTCAGGAGTATCTCCATATGCACCTCTATAAACAAAGGCACAGCCCTGCAGTTGCCCGCTCACGCCACTGCTGGTCGAAGGGGGGTGCGGCAGAGATCATCCTCTAGAGCAGTGGTTCTTAACCTGGGGTGTGAGACATGGCCAGATTTTTTTAGAAGGTAAATCATCGAAACACAAATTAAGCCCAGGCACGTGAGTAGAATTACTTTTTT